TCCCCACCCTGAGGCTCTTCGCACCCCCAATGCCCAAGTCCAGCGCCCCACTTTGCAGATGGGGAGACTGAGGCCTTGCCAAGGGTGCCAGCTGCCCCTGCCCAGCTCTCCAGGCCGGAGGGGAGGAGGCTGTGCAGTGCGGGAGCTGCCAGACGGCTATAATCCTGCGTCAACAGGGGCTTAGACACCTGCCTGGCCCCCCTGCCCGCCTCGGGCCTGCCCCAGCCTCTCCACACACCGGCTCGCAGGGCTTTTCCCCCTGGGCCAGAGTCAGGCCTGCTCTGGGCCAGAGCACTGTCTCCCCTCCCCATCCCGCCCCTAGCCAGACTTCCCCCACCCAGGCCCAGTCCACTTCACAGGCAGTCCCAAAGGCCAGGCCTGTGCCGCCCCCGCCGCCCCGTAAGGCTCGCAGAGGGCTGTCCTGGGGGCGAGCTGGGGGCCACGACAGGTCACTTGGGTGTATTTCTTAGACACACTTGGGGCTAGAGAGACCTTGGTGTTCACAGTAGCCAGTGTGGCGCGGGCGGGCGAGGCTGGGGAGCTGGCGGCCAGAGCCTGCAAAAGGGACTCCCCTGGAAGAGCACCAAGGTGACAGGCAGGTGCCACGACCCCAGTGGCCTAGGCCAGGCCCAAGAGGGTCTCCCAGGGAAGAGACAGAGCTGACGTCTGAGCCGGAGGCAGAGCTGTGATGAGGGGTCAGCCTAGCGGCAGAGTCGGCAGCCTTGGGGTGGGGGTTGCGGCCATGGCACACCCACTACCTCCTCCCCAACCCCGTGCTCTGTCCAGGCTCCGCTCGCCGGTCTGGGACTGACCGCTCAGGTCCCCTGCCCCATGCTGCAGCCCTCAGGCCGGGCTCAGGCCAGCATGGCGAATTGGCGAGGCAACCTCCAGCCACGGTGCTGCACCAGCAGGTCTCACCCGTCCAGCCTCGACAGACCCTCGTCCAGTGGGCCGCCTGGCTGGGCGACCTCCAGGCCCTCTCCAGCCTCGGCGCCCCCTCCAGGACCAGGCACACAGGCCTCAAGGACGAAGGTGCCGGGAGACTCCTGGCCCTCCCTCTGCGGGCCCAGGCCCGACCGTGGAGGTGCAGGGGAGCTGGGAGCGCACACGTCCCAGCCCAGCGCCTGCCCCCTGCCCATCCCGCCAGCCCAACGCCACCCGCCCCAGCCCCGCCTCCTTCTGGGTCCCTCAGGCCTCCTCAGGGCTGAGGGATGGCAGGGCCGGGCTGGGTCGCCTGCTAAGCTGGTTAACAAGCCCCCAGCCCCACTGGGGCGCCGTGCAGGGTGTTAACACAAGCTCCATTCTCCAGGGCTCCTGGCCTCGCGTTGCCATGGCGCCCTGGGTGGCCTTTTGGGCCACTGGCTAATCCTTCCTCTGGGCCTTTCATCTTGGCCGTCTCGCCGCCGGGCTGGTCGCTGGTGACGGACTGTGCCCAACAAGCCTGGGTCCTCTGCCGAGGTCAGAGGAGGCCGTAAATCCAGCCCCCGAGGCCCCAGGCCCCTGCCCTCTGTCCCTGCCATTGTCCCCAAGTCTCCAGCCCTTCCCCTCTGGGAACTCCGGTGGCGGGAAGCGGGGATTTGCCAAGTGGTCAGCTTCCGTCCAGTGAGGTGGAGAGTCCCCCGGCCTGTCCCCGGCCTGTCCCCGGCCTGTCCCCGGCCTGTGGTCCACACGTCCACTGTCCCGTCCCGTGTCCTCATCTCCATCGTACTCCGCGGCAGCCGGCCCACCCGCTGTCCTGGAACGTGCCGGGCCTGTCCCGCATGGCTCCTGATGCTTCACTAGAAGATCCCCTTCTCCACGAGGCCATGAGCCCTGCCCCTCGACCTGTCCCTGGCTCCGTTCCCACAGCCAGCTCCGCCGGGGCGGAGACCCAGCACCACGGACATGGCAGGCGCTGGGAGCTCTGCACGAAAGACCGGGCGCTCTCAGCCCAGAGCCCCGAGGACACGCAGCAGTCGTCTGGCGAGGGGGGCGACAGCCCAGCCTCACTGCTTCTCCCTGAGAAACCTACACGGCCATGACAGCTTTCTGAGCCTCAGGGTGCCCAGCGAGATGGACACAGATAGACGCAACCGCCTCTCCCGCCCCAGCCCGGCCGGCCCTCCCCCCACTCCTGACCCAGGGGCCAAGGCTCTCAGCGGCCATGCGGGCTGACAAGGGGGCTCAGACTCCTGCCCGGGGCCAGCCTGGCCAGGGGCAGCCCCGAAGGTGGGAGCAACCTAGAGGGGGCCCGCGCTATGCTGAGGGGCGGGGGACGGCAGTGCCAAGATGGGGGTGGTGGTGCCGGGCCCCCAGGAAGGTGGGCGCCCGTGAGGGAATCGGCTGGTCTGGGGTGCGATGAGGGAGGCCAGCCGAGGAGGCAGCGCGGGGGCCGTGAAGTCCTCCAGGCAGGGCCGGGAGAAGCCTGCCAGGCTCAGTTTCCTCATCTGTCACGGGGCCCTGCCTCACAGGGCAGCAAGCACGCCCCCATGGCCCCCGGTGTGGGGCGGGGTGGCCAGGGGCCCTGAGAAAAGGCAGGGAAGGGGAGGGGGAGGGCAGTGCGTGGGCGAGAGCGAGATTCCGGAACTCTCCGGGGAGGCCGAGGAAGAGCCAACCTCGCAGCTGCCATTGGCTGTGCCGTGGGGGCCGTGTCTGCCCCCACCCTGTGCTTCCTGCCCCCGCCCCAGAGGCCCTTGGCCGACACGTCGGCACCTCTTGCCGTGGGGGAGCCATCGCAGCCCAGAGAGGGCCAGACACTCGCCCGAGGCCACGCAGCATGCCGGCTCCGGGCTGCAGAGTGAACGGGCGAGCGGGCGATCCAGGGACGGTCCAGGCGGAGCCCTGCGTGAGTGGCCTGTGCCGCCGGCATGGGCAGGCCTTCCTGCCGCCCCGGCAGCTGCTCTTGGGGCAAACACAGGCTTCAGTGCCCCCCAAGTCCGGCTTTGGAGTGGAGGTGACAAAGCCCTTGCCTGCAGCACCCCTCCCTCTGTGTGGACGCCAGGAGATGGCGGAGGCCCCATGGGGGCCGCATGGTCTGCCGTTGTGTGGGCACCCGTGGCCTGGAGCGGTACCGGTCGGCAAGCTGGAACAGGCCACCCCACGGGGGAGCGGGCCCAGCTTCCCACCTGCAGGGCCCCAAGGCCCCCACCCACCGGCTCTGCCTCCCTCGTCACCCGGCTCCCCAGCCTGAGCCCACCAGCCCAGCTCACCCAGCCAAAACCAGGCGCCTTTGTCCAGAGGCTTCACCCTCCCTGGCCCAATGTCCTGACTTGCAGAGGACAATCCCCTCAGCATGTGGCTGTGCAGACTCGCACGGCAACCCCACAAGGACGCAGACAGGCGGGAGGCCACAGCCTCTGGAGCGAGGGATCCGGGCTCCAGCTCCAGCTCGTAGTTTAAAAACAGGCCCTGAGCAGAGACCGCCTGGGCCCGCGACGGCAGAGAACGGGACGAGCTGCGGCTCTGAAGCTCATGGGCCGCGGGGAGCTGAAAATGTCCCGATGGGAACCGGGAGTGGCACCGGCCTCGGCCGCGCCCTCGCCGCGGGCCAGGCCTGCGTGCGCCAGCGCCCAGGAGCCGCACGGCGACCTTCGCAGCCGGCCTGCTGATCCCTCCCTTCCTACAGCTGAAGAAACCGAGGCACAGGCAGGTTGTGACTCACCTGAGTCCCCCAGCTAAGGATGAGGACAGCCGGGATCTCCACCCCGGGAGTGTGGCTCCCAGCGGCAGAGACACGAGCTGCACGACCTCGCGCGAAACCTCCGGCCTCTCTCGGCCTCGGTTTCCCCAAACTCCCGGGCCTGGATCAGGTCCCACGGGGGAAGCCGAGGGCAGGTCTGGCACAGCGAGAAGTAGGAAGTGGCAGGTGGGGTGGGTGACCCAGGCGCAGGCTCGGGTGGCTCACAGGCTGTGGGGCCCCTGTCGCCCTGACCCCCTTCAGGCACTGAAAAATGGGGTCCCGATCCTGACCCACCCAAGAACCTTGGGTGGCTGAGGAGCGAAGGCCCCTTATTGGGGCAGTTTTCCAAGCACTCGGTGGACCCCAGACGGGCCCCAGCGGGGCAGGCTGGTACTGAGGCCTGCACTAGCCCCGGGTTAGGGGGGCACAGGGGTCATGGGAAGGGACCTCTGGGGAGGTCCCCGTGGACACACCTGGGCTGCCCAGTCTCCCAGGGGGATGTGGAAGGTGGCATCAGAGCCGGCCTAGCCTGTGGAAGCCAGACGGCCACCTCGCCAGCCTCGCCATCAGCCCCTGGGGAGTGACGCTCCCTCCGGCTCCATGGCGGCGAGGACGGAGGAGGCAGAGGAACCGGCTGTGCGGGACACCTGAGCCCACTGACCAGGCCTCCCAGGAGGCGGCCGCCTGGGGCTGGGAGGCAGAGGCATGGCTGGTTCCCACCGTCTGCCCCCAGAGGGAGCAGGTCAGCAGGTGGCGGACCAGCTGGGGCCTCGCCTGCCCTGACCCTCTTCTGCTGGGCAGGGGAGACTGGGCCAGGCACCTCCGGGCCTCAGTTTCTGCACCCGTGACCAGGGACACTGTCTCTCTCTTCCCCAGCCCACTGGGAGAAAGGCGGACGTGCAGGACCGTCACCCCACTTCCCACGTGGGGGGCTGGGACTCCGAGCAGGCTCTCGGGGGCACAGCAGAGCTCCCAGGTCTGCAGCTGCAGGGCGGGTGCTCGGGGCCAGGGAAGCCAGCAGACCCCGCCGCAGCGCTGGCCCCCTACCTTGGCAGCGAGCTTGGAGTCAGGCTTGCACGGATCGTGAGGCCGCTGGAGCTCGGCTGAGCCGCGTCTTGGCAGAAGCAACGGCGGGGCGGAAGGCGCCTTCTGACGGTGGGGCAATCGCGCGGGCCCAGTGCCGCGTCTTGCTGGCCCTGGGCCTGGTGGCCACCTGCCCGGTGCTCGTGCCCAGACCTGAGGGCTGAGAGAGGGATGTCCTGCTGGCGAGGGGCCTGGCAAGGCGCTGCGTGTTACAGACCCGTCTGCGTGCGCCCCCCAGCCGTGCACCCATTGGCCGTGTGCCCCCCTAGCCCTGTGTGGGGCAGGTGCTTGGCGCCGGGTCCCTGTCTGTCCATTCGTTCCACGTGGGCGTGGCAACCACAGGCCGCGCTCTTGGTGGGCAGGCTTGGCGCTGCCCGCTCTCTGTTACCACCCCACGTCTGCCATCCCGACATGCACGTGTCCGGGGTCCCATTGGGCCCCGAGTCTGCTGTGGTGAAAGCAGGGACGCTGGTTTGGTAGTGAGGGGAGACGTGACCTCCCCGATCCCTGGCATTTGGGAGTACACCAGGTTGAATGGTGGCCACAGAAGTTAGGTCAAGTCCTAGCCCCCAGAATGTGGAAAGGGGGCCTTATTTAGAGAAAAGGCCTTTGCAGATGTAATTGACTGGAGGGTCTTGAGATGGGATTATCCTGGATTTAGCATGGGCTCTGAATCCAGTGACCAGTGTCCTCTGAGAACGGGAGAGGACACATGAACGCAGAGGGAAGACAGCCAGGTGACGATGAAGGCCAAGATCGAGACGCATCCACGAGCCCAGGAACAGCAAGGATGGTCGGGGCCACTGGAAGCTGGGAGAGAAGCTGAAAGCAGAACCTCCCTCTGAGCCTCAGAGGGCAGCCGACCCCACAGACACCTCGACCCCAGACTTCCAGGCGACAGACATCTGCTGTCTTAAGCCAAGGTCAGGGTCGTTTGCTGCAGCAGCCCTAGGACACTGATATGGGGGAAAGGGCCTCGGGGAAGGCTCCTGTCCCAGAACCTGGCGGGCGAGGGAGGGGCGAGGGCCTGGGAGAGGAGCCTGGCGGGGGGCAAGCCTCCCCCCGACACCTCCCACAGACACCCCAGACGCCCGACGGGGTCTTCGACTCCTGCTGAGTTGTCTGCAGCCTGACCAGCTCCCGCTCGCTTGCAGACGGCACTGCAGAGGGGCTCCGTGAAGGGGCGGGGGGCGCGAGGGGGCCCGGTCGACCCCAGCGCCATGCTGGATGACGTCCCCGTGTACTTTGTGACACCCTCTGGGCCTTGGCCCAGGTGTCACTTCATCCATTTCCTCGCAAAGTGGTTCCCTCCTGGGCTCAGCCTGGCCCCGTCTCTTCTCGTGCTGCCCCTCGCGGAGCTCGATCTGTTTGCTGACACCGTCTCCTGGCCCCCGGGGCGAGTGTGCGCTTCAGTGGGCAGGGCTGGGTCTGTCTCATGTTCTATCCCCAGGGTCCAGCAGGGAACCTAGCATCTCCATGATGCTTCCAGCTACAGGAAGGAGAGGCTTTGGTGGCTGCTCAGGACTGGCCCACGTGATCCCCGGTGCTCTGACAGCCCAATACCCACCTGTTGACGGCCTCGGTACGGGCCGTCCTTCACCTTCGGCCTCTCTTTCTGTGTCTGGAGGAGCCACCAGGCCTGGCCCTGGGAGGACGCACCCAGTCCAAAGTCAAGCTCAGGGGGACAGAGCAACTGAACAGCCAGAGGCACATTCTGGAGTCATAGTCCAGGGAGGGCTGGGGCTGCCACACCGTGAGTGCCCTGATGGGGAGCCGGGCCTCCTGGGTCCAGCTGCACCTTTGGGCTGGGTGTGTGTCCCTGACCAAGCCCTGCCCGTCTCAGGGTCTACTGGGGACACAAGGCAGCAGGGATTCAGCCAGGCAGGTGCAGGGGACAGAGCCGCGTCCGTGCCCGCTCTGGCCATGAGCAGGAGGAGGGAGACTCTCCACTCAACTCACTCCGGGAAGGGAGGCAGCTGGGGCCGTAGGGGAGCAGCGGAGGCTCAGGATGAACTTGGGGAAAGCGGACTCGGCCTCCAGAAGCCCCCCTGCTCTGGGCAGTGCCTTCCTGATGGGGGCCAACCTTCCGTCCGATGTTGCCACCACTGGCCGGACAGGAAGCACCAACCCTGGCACAGCCCCGCCCCGCGCTCTGGCCTGGCCTCAGCCTCCCACCTCGGCCTGGCCACCTCCCTGGGGGATGAGGCTGAGGCCAGCCTGACCCACCTCCCCCTTCCGAATTCGCAGCTCTGCAGGACGGAGGGCGCCCGTGAGGGCTGCGGGGCCGGCTCCGGGCGTGCGTACACATGGACACACGTGTCCTCTGCACACAGCCCCCCTCCCACCGGCTCACACGTGCAGACCTGCGGCTGCCGTGCCCTTACTCATCCAGTGCCCACGCGGGCTCATCCACACGTGCGAAGTCACATACACGTCTACACACACGTGTGTCCGGGCCTCTCTCTGCCACGCTGGGCACGGCGGCCTCACAGAGTAGTTCCTTGGAACCCCAGCTGGGGAGGGTGATAGAGACAAACGTGGGCATTTTCAGGCCCAGGGAAGCTGAGACATCTCGTCCCCTCTCCTCCAACAGCCCGACTCATTCCCCCACGGCGCCTTGCCGCGAGGACCTGAAATCAGCCCGCTCCCTTGTCATCGCCACAGGGACCGGCCTGCGGCTTGTCAGCCGAGGGCACGCCTTGCCACCCGAGCAGGGGGTTGGGGGAGGACACTGCAGAGAGGGGCAGGAGAGGCCGAAGGAAGTTTCGAAGAGGGGGGCCGGCCGGGGGGCAGTGTCAGGGCTGCCACGCACGCGTGTGCAGCGACCAGGGATAAACTCCTGAAATCCAGCCACACTCCGCTCACCTCGCTGTGAAGGACGAGTGACTCTCCCCGAGCCGTGGCACCGGGTGGCTGGCAAGGTGCCCACAGGGGTCTGAGGACCTGGCGCCTACACGTCCTGCTGGCACGTGGGCGCCAAGTTTCCCCAAGCGCCAAGCCCCCGCATCGGCCGGTGTGCATGCATGTGTGTACGCGTGTGAGTGTGCACGAGTGTGCACGTGTGCGAGCATGTGAGCGTGTGCATGTGCGCATGTATGCACATGTGAGTGTGCATGTGTGTGCATGTGCGTGCGTGTGCGTGTGTGTGCGTGTGTGTGTGCGCGCGTGTGTGCGTGTGTGTACATGCGCCTCGCGTGCTCCCACCTCGGCTCCGGCCTGGCGGGGCCCCTGTGGGCAGCGAGGCGCATCCCTGTCTGGCCAGGATGCCTCCGTTCCCACGCCCATCACAATGGCCACACCGCAGGGGCTTCCCCTGGGACGGAACCCAACCGTGGGCTATTGAGGACCTGAAAGCCATGGCCCCCGCCCCAGCCACAGAGGGCCCCGCCTGGGACACCCGATCCACCTCCACCCTCGCCTCAAGGGGGACTATGTCCACCCAGGTCCCCCCCCACCGGCGTAGATGACAAGGGAAACTGAGCCACTGGGGTAGAGTGACAGGAATAGCAGGTGGAGACAGGGCAGCCCCTGAGGATGCCCCAGGCCTGAAGATCTGCCAGGGTCCAGCCCTGCGGGGGCAGGGCCTGGCCTCGGAGCCCCAAGGGGGCCTCGAGTGTGGGCAGCCGGTGCCTCGAGAGACATACGGCCTGCCTAAGATCCTCAGGTGGAGCTGGGGGCAGAGCCAAGACTGGGGACCCTCTCTCCCCACACCCAGAGAGGTGCCCATAGGCCATGCTGCAGGCGGGGGTATGGGGTCCGGCCTACCTGATCCCTCCCCTCCTGGAGCAGCCACCGGCCACCATTGGCCTGGGAATGTCCAGTCCCTGCTTGGTGTGCTGGCTGGGGTGGCCAGGGAGAGCCAGGCCTGGCCAGGAGCTCCTTCTGGAGCAGTGACTCCGACCTGTGTCCCGAGGCCATCTACCATCACCTCCCTGCCTCTGCCTCTGGCAGACCTGTGGGAGGCGGGGGCCGGAGCCAGGGTCCCACAGGGCTGCAGGATTTCCTGGGGTGCGAGAGACATGCGGGAGGGGCTCGCCCTCGGTGGCCTCCATCCTCCCCCCTGCGAAAGGGGACTTAACATTGTAAGGGCCCTTCTAGCTCTTGGCAAACTCGTGTCCAGCAAACTCAGCTCCATTTGGCTGCCGCCATTGTCCAGCACTTTCTGGACACCCCCCACCCCCACCCCCAAGCAGACACCAGGGAAGCTGGCTCGGAGAGGTGCGGGGACTCCCGGGGGTGGAAGGCCTCCTCAGCCCTGCCCCGGAACCTCGGTCCTGGCCAGTCAGCTGCTTGGGAGGAGAAAGGCCTCTAGGCTCTGCCGGTGACATCCGTGTGCCCACCCGGCCAGGTCCTGCGGCTTCCTCTGGCAGTGGGGAGACCTGACGTCAGCGGATGGCTCGGCAAACCTTCACGGTCTCCCCAGCGCCGAGCCCTGAGCCAGGCCCTCCCCGACCCGAGTGTGCTGGGGAGGGGTGCCCGGCAGGCGTCTGGGGCTTCTCTGCTCGTCAGAGGGAGTTTCAGAACCGGGGAAGGGGGCGGGGGCTGGGCCGACCACCCTCATCCTGCCACGGTGGGACCCGGCCAGCTCGCTTCTGTCTCTGCTCCTCAGCTTCCTCATCTGCAAAGTGAGACCAGGAGACACACCCTGCTAAGCCTGTGACCTCGAGCCCTGAGCCCCCAATTCCCTCCACTTTCCTGTCCTCCCTGCCACCCTCCGCCCCCACCCCCGCTCCAATCCCCCTGCAGCTGGCAGAGCTGGCCGCGGGGCCCTTTCTGCGGGCCCTGGTCGGCATCAAGTGGCACAGCCTAGGGGCTGTGGGGGGTGGGAGTATTCTACTTGAGGGCTGGGTCTCTGGGGAGGCCCCCAGCATGGGGACAGGAGTGGGGGCTGGAGACTTAACCTGGCAGGCGCAGTGGCAATTCCGGCTGCTGCTTCTGTCAACATGAGCCTTCCTGTTTTGGAGATTAAACCTTGGCTGAGCAAACAGCGTTCAAGGGGGCCCCTCCCTGCCTCCTCCCCATCCAACCCTCCTGAGGCTGGAACCACCTGGAGGCTGTGGGGTGGCAGGGCCCAGAGGGGGACCAGCTCCGCCATCCCTGCACTCGCCAAGCCCTGGACCACAGTCCAGGCAGCCTGGCCCTGCCCCAGCCCCCACTGACCCGGCCAAGGCCACCCCCGGAAGCCCCTGTGCAATCCTTCCGCTCCCTGCAGGCGAACTGTCCCAGCGGCCCTGCCTGCTACATCCTCTAACCTCATGTCACCTCCCGCAGGAAGGGGGGGCAGCTGCTCCTGGGGCCTCCCTGGCAGCACACGCCTACCTGCTACGGACCCCAGGCAAGGCAGGAGAGCCGCCTCCGAGTGTGCCCCTCAGCCCCCTGACATCGTGGTCTGGGAAAGTCTTGGTTTGGGGCCCGTCTTGTACATAGTAAGACATTTAGCGAAATCTCTCTACCAGCCAAATGAGCTGACCCCCAGGCGTGACGGCCAAAAGTGTCTCTGAGCATTGCCAAACAACCCCTGGGCCCCTAACAGCGGGGTTTGGACCCCCGGGCTCGTCCCTGAGATGCATGTACACAACAAAACCACAACTGCAAAGATGGGCAGAGCTTCTGGGGCCTGGTCCTCCTCTGCTTGCTGGCCTCCGCCCAGTCTCTGTCCAGTGCCCCTGCCTCCCCACCCCTCCCCACCAGGGCCCGCCCACCCCTGAGCAACCTGGCCCTGCCCTCCTCCGAAAACCCTCCCCAGACTAAGCCCTACTGTTGGCCTCCCAAGGGAGGGAAGGGGGGTGCAGAGGCTGCCTCGGCCTCAGCCCCGTCCCTGCTTCCTCCTCCCTGGCTGCAGGACACAGGACACAGGCGGGGAGGGACAGACAGACACGCGAGAAGCTCAGGGTTGGCTCTTTTTGCCTGGCTGGACCACAGAGCGGCCAGGACCACATCCCTCCTGCTCACCAACCTCTGTGGCTCCCCATGGCCCCCTAAGCCTGACCCTGAGCCCAAACCCCGGGCTCCTGGTCACCTGTACAGCCTCATCTCCCACCACGCCTCTCCCCACAGCCGTGACCTCTCCAGACACCCCCAGGGCCCACCCCTCTGCCCCCCACGCCCTGCCCCAACCTGCCTGCGCACGCCTCTGAGCTCTCCCTGGAAGCCTCTCCTGAAGCCCCCTATTCCCCACCCTGGCATACAGTGGATTCTGTCACCAGACCCCAGGCACACTTGGCCGTGACCCATCACCCAGCCCCTACCACCCTCTGTCTGTCTGGGGGACACTTGGCTGCCTGACAAACTTTCCCCTCTAGACAAAGAGCTCCTTGGGGCCGGGCTGATCTGAGTCACCCCCTGAACGCCCTGTGGGCCGGGCAGAGCCGGGCTTCAGGGAAGCGCACGGGGATGCGGATGGGCGGGCAGGGTCCTGGGCAGAAGGCAGACAGGTAGGCAAGTGGGTGGACAGGCCCCATGGCGGTGGCTCCTCTCTTCGTGGATGTGATTGCCACTCCTAGGCACACAGCCTCCACACCTCAGGAGGGCCCGAGGTCAGAGAGGTGCAGAGATGGGCCCAGGTCACGTAGTTAGTGGGGTCCCCTCTGAGCCAAGATTCTGACCCCTGCTACCTCCACCCAGTCTGGAGGCCCTCCTTCCGCTGGTCCCGGGGTCTGGTTCCATTGACATGGGCACCAGGTCATGACCGGGGCAGGGGTCGTGCCTGGGGCCTGGCAGGCACCAGCACAGCCACACCCCACCCCTGCCTGTCCTGCCCACCCTTGGCTGCAGCACAAGCTAGCCATTCTTGACAAGACAAAGGCCCGCTGGGGTAGAGTGGCTCTGGTGTCTCCCCAGTGGGTGTCTGGCCTCCGCAGGACATCAGTAATGGGTTCTGATGGCCCAGGCTCAGCTCCTGGGGGCTGCAAATTGGATTAGCACAGTCCAGCGCCGGCCCGGACAGTCCCGCGTGGAGCAGCCAGGATGCAGCTGCCAGGCCTAGGCCTGCCACCCTCCTGGTGTGTACAAACCCTGGCCCCAAGGCCGAGAGACAGCCCCCTCAGCTTGCTGTGGGGTCAAGGGCACGCCTCCTCTCCTCCAAGTCCAAACTGCAAGACTCGCCATTTGAGCGAGAGCTTTCAAGGCCTTCTTGAGGCGGTGTTTGGAAACGCAGGGCACGCGCACAGCATGTCATCGCTGACACCTTCCGCAGCATCGGCCCCTGGCATACGCCACAGCCCCGCCCTCAGGCCCCACCTGGTGCCAGCTCAGAGCGCTATGGGCCGCCTTGCCAAGCTCCTTCCCCTGAGAACCGCGCTGGGTGCCTAGCGGACAGCAGGAGGCAGCACTCACTCGAGCCTCTGTATGTCCACATGTCCACATCCATCCACCCACCCATTCGTCCGTCCGTACAGCCGTCCATCTTTCAAGCCCCTCTGTCCATCCATCCACTTAACCATTCATCCATCCATCCATCCACCCACCCATTCGTCCGTCCGTACATCCGTCCACCCTTCAAGCCCCTCTGTCTCACCCACTCATCCATCCATCCACCCACCCATCCATCCATCCATCTATCCATCCATCCATCCATCCATCCCCTTACTCATCAGGTCAACCAGCACTTACTGGGCACCTACTCTGTGCCAGGCCCTGATGAAGAGCGAGACGTGGCCCCTGACCTCACGGAGGTCTGGCACGTTGGGGATGCAGGTGAGGAAACAGGCAGCCTGTGGTCAGTGCCAGGCTGGAGGCAGCGGGTGGGTACCACAGGGGTTGTGGAGAACTTCCTGAAACAGGTGCTAGGCCTCGGCTGGCCTTGAAGTGTGACCCCTGCAGCCTCACTCAGCCACCTAGGCCAAATAGGCCTGGCTACTCTGACCACATCGGGCCACAGGGTTCGGGGAAAAGGGCCAGGCCACCAGTGCTCATTGGTGCTCCACACCTGCAGAGAACACCTGCCCCCAGCCAGCCTGGGGCGGGCAGGGCAGGGCAGACGCCAGCCACGTCCCCATTCCAGAGTCAAGTAAAATCCTGAGTCCCACAGGGAAAAGGGAACTGACCCAAGACCACACAAAGCGGGCAGGAGTGAGGGGTTCCGGGCAGAGCAGGCAGGCAAACGAGACTGGGCTGGGCTGGGGGCTCTACTCACAACTGCGGGCTGTCGGTTCTTCTCCTGGGGGGCAGCCTCCAGCTCGCTGCAGTAATGTCAGTCAGCTGCCGCCGCCAGCTGTGCCTCCCCTACCCCGCACCGGGCTCCTAAGCCAGCCCTTCCCCATCACCTCCCCCCTGACAGCAGTGCCTCTTGGTCCCAAAGTTGCTGAGCTGGAGCCCTCAGGAGGCCACCACAGCCATGCCACTCACTGTCCCTAGGAAGCCTGCAAGCACCCTGGCATCCAGGAGGCCCTGAGGCTGGCCGTTCCCCTCGGATGCCCTCACAACAGCCTTGAGGGCAGGGACCCCCCATGTCCGTGAGTCAGATGGGGCCCCGCCGCCCAGCTCCACCTCGCTGCCACCACCTCGCAGTGGAGTTGGGGACAGTGCTTCCCCCGACGGGCTCTGCTGCTGGGTTGGAGAAGGCTTTTCCTGGGACACTAACCAGGACGGCCTCGGATGACTTCCTGCGAGTTAATGGGTCACTCATTATGTCTCCTGGATCTTCCCAGAAAAGAGACGACCCAGGGGAGGCCAGCTCCAAGGCGCCCAGGACCCCATGGGACTGACACCGTCTGCTGAGGCCCCAGGCTGCGCTCCGGCCAGGAAAGTGAGCCTGGGCTCAGATTCGGACACACCACCTCCGACCCTGATGGGTGGCAGAGCAGGGCCCCATGGGCCTCACTGGGCATGTGGGCCCCTTTCCTTAGACACCCCTCCACCCGACTTCAACAGGCAGGTCTTGAGCCATTTGGCCACCCGGCTGCCAGGAGCCCCATGCTGGGGCTGTGGAGGGGCCCTGCCGAGCAGAGGTCAGCGCCCCGGGAGGCACACGGTCCCATGGCCCTGACCGGGGGTGGGGGCAGGCTCCTTGCTTGTCTGCCCATGACCATCTTATAAAATGGATGGTACATCATCCTCATGTGATGGGTGGGGAACCTGAGGCTCAGAGGTCGACTATCCTAGGTCCAAGTTCTTAAAGCTGTGAAGTGGCCCGTCTGAGATTGGAAAGCACACAGTCTGGCTCCAGGGGCCCCCAGCCCCTGGGCTGTGTCCACATGCCGTGGCTGGACACTCCCAGCCCCCTTCCTGAGGGTCCCAAGGCCTCAAGGAGCTTTCTGGCAACCTGGTCAGCCCTCCCGCCTCCCCATTTCCTGTCCTGAGTCCAGCACCTCCCCCCCACCCACTCCCAGGCTATTTGGCCCTGGAGGGATCCTTTGGGCTTAGGGGGAGGGGAGGGGAGGGGAGCACCTCAGGCTAGAGCTGAGCCTGGGGAGGGGGCGTGGGCGGCTAGGACGGCCACCCCTTGCTATGGTTTTCAGACCTCAAGGAGTCACCACGAAATTCCATTCTCCTGACAGCAAAGAAATTGAATCAGTCTTGCCAAAGCCCACTGCCCCCACAAGAATGCCGCGAGGCTTTGTCCCACTGTTCCCAGACAGGCAGCCGCAGCCGGTCCCCCACTGCCACCGAGCCTGGCCTCAGACAGGCACAGGAAAACCCCTGCTGGGCTCCATGCCATGCCCCTGCCCGGCTGGGCCGATCCCCCGCTGTGCCCTTGCCCCTGTCCCTACAGCGGCCCTCGGAGCCTCGCCTTGCCTCCTGCGCCTCGGGCACACAGCTCCTGCTGTGTGGCGTAGCAGGAGCTGCAGAGCATGAGTCAGAGAACGCAGGGTGCTCTGGGGTGCCAGGCGGGGAATCCCACACCCTGGGCTGGGGGCTGCAGAGGGGCTAGCTCCGAGGACCCTGTCCCATGCAGGTAGGAGGTAGCATGGCTGCAATGGCTCGTCTCCTGCCTCTTGCAGATTGCTCACACCTAACTGTGGAGCCCACAGACCCCGAGCGGGGCACAGCTCATGCACAGATCTGGGGACTCAACCGTGCTTGGGCTGGAGGAGGGTGAGGAGGGGGTGCAGGGCGTGGCAAGGAATGGGGCTGGGACTAAGTCACAGGGTGGGTGGGCGCCAGGACTGGACTCAGAGGCATGGAGAACCATGGAGGATTTTGATCTGTGTGTATGTGTGTGTGTGTGTGTCTGTGTGTGTGTGTCTGTGTGTGTGTCTGTGTGTGTGTCTGTGTGTGTGTGTGTGTGTGTTGGGGGGGTTATAATTAGAGCTGAGTGGAGAATAAATAGACCAGGTAGATTAGGGACAGGGAAACGGGGTGGGGCTGTCAGAGAGGTCCAGGCCAGAGACGGGGAGATGAAGGCAGTGGAGGAGGCTCGTCTCAGAGCGGTCCAGCTATGGGACAGATAGGACTTGCCGGTGGGCGGGGAGCATGTAGGTACAGACTCCTCCGACCAGAGGCTGGGGCTGGCCTGGGCCTCAGCAGGCTGTTTGGGGGCAGCCCACGTAGCCATCCGTGCATTTCGCTCCTGCCCGCCCCCACCTCTCCAGCTGCCTAGAGGCTCCAAGGCTGGGCTCTGGCTGATGGGGGAGGGGTTTATGGCAGGAGGTGACACCACGGGAGACTTGTCACTTGGGCATAGCCAGCACCATCTGCTCAGGCATCTGCCCGACTGAGGTGGTGCCTGCTAATTACCTGGGGGCTGGTGCAGGAAGAGGCCTGGGAACCTCTGTCCTCCACTCCACCCATGACAGAGGGGCTGGGGCCCCAAGGACAAATGGGCAGGAGTCCGGAAGCCCCACCAGACTTTTTCTCAATAAATCTTTATGGAGCACCTACTATGTTCCAGGCCCCGTTCTCTTGCAGTTGTCATTCAGGTGGAGGGAGAGGGACGGTGAAGGGGCGTGTGAGCAACTAAAAATGCCATTGCAGGGAGAGGGGCTCGCGCTGGCAAGATGACTGGCCTGTGGGCAGAAGGAGCTCGGAGGGAACCAGTGTGGCCGTGGCGGTCATGGACCCCGGAGCAGGGGAACGAGGTGCAGCCAAGCGGAGAGCCGCCCCTAACTGCGCTTCCGGAAGATGCTGCGGGCAGGGGGCTTGGACCGACCGC